CTTCATGTAATTTTTTCATTTTACCAATTTTTTGTAAACGATTAACAAATGATAGTTCAGCTACTTGTGTCCTAAAACAAGGAGAATTTTGAACAACATAATTTGCCAATATTAAACAATTTAATATCTCTCCTTCAGAAATTCGTTTCTTTGAATAATCACGCATCTTATCCTCTAATTGAAGTCTTAAAGCAATATCTGCTCCATCAACTTTCTCTACAGCATTAACAATAGTTCTCATATCAGAGTCAATTGGAGATGTATGAATATCAGATACAGTATTAAATACTAATTCACTTAATTTGATAGACATCACTGGAATCTAATTTCTTAGATGCCCTCTTTTATTTAAGTTCATATTATCTTAGAGAGTTTTTTTCCTTTTTACATTAATTTTGATATCTAAATTACTAAGATTTATATCCTTCTTTTTGTTAGTGGAATCAACCCAATCATAAAGTCAAATCCCTAATTTTTTACCTTAAAATTCAATTTTCGTCTTTTTTCACTTTTTAATTTTTTTAATTTTTATTTATACTTCATCAACAAAGATCAAAAAATTTTTCCTGTAAATCTGATATGATCTTTAAACTGAAGACTTTTCTTTAGATTTAAAGATCTTTTTATTGATTTTTTTATTTCGTTGACTGTTTTGTTTCTTAAAAATCATTTTTAAATTTTTGTATCCTTTTTTTTATTTAAACGTTAAAAAATACTAACGTGGAGTCAAAATAGGAAAGAGTGCAGAATTAACTTTTCAGAAATAACATTGAACGAAAAGTTCCGAACATGAATCTTCTTTGAGCAAAAGCAGAAATGATGAATTAAATGTGACTGATACAATATAGATGAGTTGAAAGAAAAGTTTTCATTTTTATCATTAATAAATAAATTTAATTAGATAAATAAATCAAAGACAAATATAAGAAGGAAAATATAATATAAAAAAAAAATAAAAGAGAATAATAAAAAATAGCAGTTACAGTAAATGAAACTAACTCATCTTATTCATAATCACATTTCTTCATCAAAAGCAAATACATCAGGAGAAGACGAATTTTCACAAGGAGACCTTTCGTCTGGAGTATAAGGGAAATGACATGAACTAGTTTGAAGACCTCCTAAAGGAAGAGGACTTGGAGTCTCATGTTTTGTTTCTGGTAATACAAAACTATGAGATACAAGAGACTCTCCTCCTTTATTTTTAATTTTTAATTTATTACAACTTGGAGGTGTTGGTAATATAAATGTATTTTTATATGTAACTTTTGGTTTTATTAACGTTGTATCTTTCATTGAAAAAGCATAAGGTAAAGAATCTTTCATTAAAGGGAGTTTTTTACATCCTTTTTCACTAGAAAATATGAGTTAAAAAAGTTTAAAGTAAAATTTAAATAAAAAAAAAGAATAACAAACGATATACGTTTTTTCAAGGTTATAAGAGAATCAGTCAAACGTTTACCAATTGCCTCTGCTTCTTTTAATTTATCCATATCATATCTATTTTCATTTTCATGACATTTACTACATTCTCGATTAAATTTACTATAAAAATGAATATTAAATATTATTTTATATTTAAATAATTAATATAGTTAAACAAACGTACTAATTTTTTCTGCATAATTGTAAATACTTTGTAAATCTCCACTATTTGTTTCAATAGCACGTGAAATATTTCTTAAATTATGTTCTACATGTGGAATTAATTTAATGATTTGACTTGGAAGGAATGTAGTTGGTTGAGAAGATGGATCAATAACACATTGAGTTGTATATTTTCGATACAATATTTTATATTCACTTAATTCGCATGGGAAATAAGTTCCCCAAACAGCAATAAGTTCTCTTACTTTATCTTCAACTGGGTTTGCTTCTTCATGTAATTTTTTCATTTTACCAATTTGTTGTAATAAAGCCATAAAAGAAAATTCAGCTACTTGTGTCCTGAAATTAGGAGAATTTTGAACTACATAATTTGCCAATATTAAACAATTTAACATCTCTCCATCTGTTACAAGATGTTTTGAATAATTACGCATTTTTTGTTCTATTTGTTTCCGAAGAACAATATCTGCTCCTACTACTCTTTCAACGGCATTTGCTATTGTTTGCATTTCTACTTCACTAGGTTCTGAATGGGTATCACTTATTGTGTTATATACTAATTCACTTAGTTTAACAGACATATTTTGTTTATTTCAGTTCTTTTTTTTTTTCTTATTTACTTTTTTTTATTCATTATATATCTTAGGTAAATTTATTGTAATCTTCCATCTTATTTGCTAAAAAATAGGGTTGGAACATAATAAGTATTGAAAAAAATTGAAAAGTAAAGACTTTTTCATTTTAAGAATTTTGTGTAACTGAATAGTGTTATTTTATTCACTTTCGAATATACATAAAACTTTCTATTTCTTGTTGTTGAAAAGTCTTCTTTCAAACTTATCTCTTTGTTTTCAGTTATGGTGATCAATTTCGGGAATGTTGAATAATCGGCATTTTTTATTTTTGTTTCTCAAATTTTGTAAATTTTATTAATTCAATATTATATTATACTATTTAATTTAATTATATTTAATATAAGTAATGTATAAGTTAATTAAATTGCTATTGAATTTTTAATGAAAGTTTGAAAAAAAGTTCATTTCTAAAATAACAAACAAAAACGAAAACTCAGAAAATTCTATAAATATTAACTTCTCAATCTTCATTCTTGAGTTTTGTAAATCACAAAAAATAAATAAAAATTTGTTTAAATTCAAGCAAGATAAATTTAAAAATCATTGTAATAAAAATTAATAGAAAATAATAATTTTAAGTTTGATTTTTTGTTATAAGAAGGTACCATTTTTGAATCAAATTAACCTTGAAGATAGAAGACTTATAGAAAAAACAATAAAGATACTTAATGGAAATATTTTTTGATATTAATGTATTTGTTATAAATATATTTTTAATTATTTTTAATTATAATTTACTATAAATGAAGAATTTAAAAGAATTTTTCTTGAATAGAAGATATTGAATTTTTAAATATGAGATAAATACATTTGTTTAATCAATAAAAATAAATATATTGACTATTAAATAATTTTAATAATAGGATTAAATCATTGAATATATGTTTTTTTGTTGTTTAAAAAGCTATAACTTAATTTTTGTCTTTCATAAATATAACTTGAGTAATAAAATTTCAAGTAATAACAATTTATGAATAATTTACTTTTTATAAATTTGATGTTTACAACTTAGAAAGTTCATAACAATTTATAAAACATCATAACATATAAATTCGTTTATTTGCTTGTGATATTCAAATATAAAATATATAAACTTTTTTATTAAATAATCAATTAATAATATTATTATTACATATCAAATAAGAATTAAATGATAATTCTATAATTAATTATATTATTTAAATCATTATTATACAAGTATTCATTAATAAGAATATAAAAATTCAATAGAACTAATTGGAATAAAAATGTTTAAGATAATTTAAAAGAAAGATATTTATAAAAGATATAATACTTCTTAAAATAAAATAGTAATAAACGAAAAATCATTCAAATAAGTGTAATTGGAAATAAATCACAGACATTCTTTGTTAGTAGTTATTTTTTTCCAAATTTCTTAGCATGTTTTCCACTTTTCCTTTCTCCTTTTTTATTTTTTTTTCCTACCTTTTTTTGGTCTTTTGAGTTAACTATTTTCATTCCAGAATTTCGTTTTTCTTTTTTGGCATCTTTTTCTTGAAGTTTAATACTATAAAAATTACCTTTCTTATGTTCAACATCTTCTACTTCTTTTGGCTCTTCTTGACTGTCTTCAGATGAACTGGATGAACTCTCTTCTTCATATTCTTCTTCTTGCATAGTAACATTCATTCCGGCTTCTTCTTTCTTTTTTGATTTCTTTGTATTAACAAATTGACTAGAATATTCTAATGATGTCATCATTGGTTTCTTCTCTTCTTCCATTTTATTAATTTTTTGAATATTTTCATCATTACTACCTACTTCCATATTTACTTGACTTTGAAGTTGTAAATTTCCATTAAACGAATTGAATGATAAGTTATTTGTTGTTCCAAATCCAAATGGTTGTTGGTTATCAGTGAAGAATGAGCTGAAGTCTTGACTGTTTATTTTTTGAGAAGACTCTTCTTTTGGTACTTCATCCATTTTTTGTTCGATAGGTTCTTCAACCATTCTTTGAGATATTGATGAAGTAGATTGAGTTATATTAAATGAAGAATTAATAGGAGTTTCTTTTGGAATATCTGGAATAGTATTTGTAGTAATTGAATTTGTAGGATTAAGTTGAGAAGTATTAAAAATAGGGTTTATTGGTGTTTGTTGTTGTTGGATTTGATTTTTATTTGTAGTTGGTAAAATAGCTTCTTCTGTTTGACTTGGTTTGACTTCTTGTTTTGATAAAGTTTGAGTAGAAGGTTGTAATGTTATTGGTTGAGATTGATTACTTGGAGTGATATTAACTTCAGTAGATAAAGATAAGGTTTTTGTTTGGTCCAACTGTTCTCCTTTATTCGTGATAGGAGGAGTGTCTTTTTCTAAATTGTTTTTGATTTCATTTGATTGGGTTTGAATTTGTTCTTTATGTTCTGTTGTATTTGAACTAGTTACATTTACAGCGTTGTCATTGTCTAAATGCCTTGGAGGAAGTGGAGTAGAGGAAGTGGAGATAGTAGAATTTGAACGTTTTGGGCTTTCTAATGGACGTTCAAACTTTTTTCTTCTTCTTTCCTCTCGTTCTTCTTGTGTCTCAATACGTTTTGGTTGCTTTTTTTGTGGAACAGGGATATTAACACCTTCAGGTTCTCGTTTAATTGGGCGTATCCTTTCAAGAAAATCAGAAACATCTTTACTAATACTTTGTTTTACGTTATTGGTATTTGATATTTCTTGTGTTTTTTGAGTTGATAAAGACGGGGATAATTCACTGGTTAATGGGTTTGATTGCTTGGTTGAGGGATTTGCAGTATCAACAACCAATTGCAAAGAAGCAGCTGGTTGAGTTGATTGATTAGGGATTTGATTTTGTATTTGTTGAGGTTGTAGTGAAAGATTAGGCTCAATATGATCGTGTTGTTGAGAAGATTGTTCTTGAAGTTTTTGTGGTTGTTGTTCTTGAAGTTTTTGTGGTCGTTCAGCTTCTTCTTTTTGTATTTTAATAGATTTTAATTGTTGAATAGACAAATCTTTTTGGTGAGAGTTTAATTGTAATTGTTCAATGAGTTCATTTAATCGTTTAATTTCGATATTTTTGTCAGTAAGTTCTTTTTCTTTTTGATTGATAATATTCTTAGAATTTAGATTAGAAGTATTTAATTCATTAACATGTTGAGTAATAGTTTGTTCTAGCCTTTTAGTATTTGTTTCTAATTCTATAATTTGTTTATTTTTTTCTTGTATTTCATTATTAAGTTTAATGACCATTTCTTCTAAATTCTTTTTGTCTTGTTCTAATTGATTTTTTATAATATCAAGTGCTTTTTTTTGGTTTAAATAAGATTCTTTTTCTTCTTGTATTTGTTGAACATGTTGAATCATTTCATTTGCTTTTTCAACTTGTTGTTTAGCTTCTAAACATTCTAATTGAATTTTTCCAATAAGGGAATTCTTTTCTTTAATAATTTGTTCATATTCTTCCTTTTCAGACCATTCACTTTGTTGAATAATTTGTTTTTGTAATGATTTGTTCAAGGTAATTAATTGTTCTTCTTTTTGTTTTAACTCTTCTTTTTCTTCTTTCCATTCTTTTCGTTCATCATTTAATTGGTCTCTAAGTTCTTTATATTTTTCAGCGTATTCTTCTCCTCCAGTTTTTTCAACAACTTTAATAAACTTTTCAATAACAGGTTGTTTTTGAAACTCTTCAACATTGTTTATTAACTCTCTTTTATTTTTATTTAATTCTTCAATATTCATTTTTAATTCTTTATTTTCTTTTTTTAATTGTTCAATTTCAATTTGATTAGAATGAGGTGTTGGTGTTATTGGTTTAAATTTGTCATAAATTAATTTAGTTTGTTGCATTTGTTCAATTTTTGTGTCTTTCATTTGAATTAAATTTTCCATATTTCTTATTTTAATTTCTAACTTTGATTTTTCTACAGTTACTTCTTTAAATCGTTGAATTAATTTTTCCATTAATCCTTCCATTTGTTTACGTTGTTGCATAATTTCATCAACACATACTTTTTCTATTGTTTTTCCATTTAATATTTCAAGTGCCTCTAATGCGGCTTTCTTTAATTCATCATTTTGTTTCCAAAGTTCTATATTTTGAATGGCTATCTCACGAGATTGTTGTTTATTTTCTGTGGCTTTTTCTATCGTTTTAATTTGTTCTTCTAAATGAAAAATTTCTGTATTTTTTTTATCTATAACTTGTGCAGACTTTTCTAACTCATCAATCGCAAGTGCTAATTTTAATTGTAATGCAACTGTTAATGATTCTTCATTTTTCCATGAATTAATAGTTTCAGTAGAAATTGGTTGGGGTATAACTATTGTTCCAACATTAGGTAATGATGATTTTACATTCACTTGAGTTGGTTGGTCTGCAATAACATTATAAGTAGTAGTTGGTACTGGTTTAACTTCAATAACAGGAATAGGATTTTCAGGTATACATATTTGAGATTGTTTTGGTTGAATTGAAAGTTCTTTGATATAAGTTTCTAGAGCGTTGATATGGTTTTTTAATATATCTTCTTGTGATGCCATTATCCACTGATTATTTTTATTTTCTTTTTTTTTATTTTTTATTTATAGTTTCTATTTTAGTTTTATTTTATTATTTCTATTTACTATTTTATTAATAATTCTTTTACTATTGTCATCTTAGTTCATTTTATTTCTCTAATGATTCATAATACATTATTACCTTTAAATTCAATCCAATTTATTATTTCTCATCTTCAAAAGTATCAAACTCTTGTTAATTGTATTTTTATAAATAAAAAATGGAAACATTCTATTGAATATTCCTATAGTAATCCATTTTCTTTATCAAAACAGCAACTTTTATTATTCTTCCCTCATTTGGTTCAACAAAACGTTTACCATTGTTATGATGATAGAATTATTAATATTCCTAATGTCATTTGGTATTACGTACCATTTGAACTAGTTGAAAAAAACAAAAACATTTCACATGATTACTTTAAAAGAATTGAATTTACTTTAAATGACAAACAACAATATAACTATAATTCCAATTATCATGTCCATTCTTTGGCTTCTCATTTGTTTGAAAATAATCATCAATTAGAGTCAATACAATTGCCTTCTTCTTTATTAAGACTAGAACATTCAGTTTTTAGTCATTGCAATTTGCTTCATTCTATTTCCATTAATTCACCACTACAAACAATTGGTCAATATTGTTTTTCAATGTGTACATCATTATGCACTATAAAACTTCCAGCCTCTCTTTCAGTTTTAGAAGAAGGAGTATTTTCTCATTGTTCATCTTTGAAATGTTTAGACTTATCTATGTTATCACTTCAAATACTCAATAAAAGAACTTTTGAATATTGTACTAATTTGTCTTCTGTTATATTACCTTTATCATTACAGAAAATAGAAGAGGATTGCTTTTATAATTGTATTTCATTATCCACACTTTGTCTACCATCAACACTCACTTTCATTGGAACACGTTGTTTTTATGAATGTACATCTCTTTCTCGACTTGATCTTCCCTCAACTATTTCTACTATGACGTCATCTGATTTTACTCGAACAGATACAACTCAACATCAAACACAATTTTGTTGTTGGACAGAAGATTTTTATGACGTCATTGACAATTTAGAATCAGAAATAGAAGTTGAAATTCGATTTGGAATTGGAAAGAGTTGTTTTTACCATTGTAATTTTATTTCAAAAATATTTCCCAGTTATTGTTTTGACCCATAACTATTGATGTAATTCAGTACTTTTAATATAAAATAAAGTTGTGTTTTATTCTTTTTGGCATTGTAAAAAGTAGTACTCTACGAATAGATAATTGAACGTAGTAATTTGGTTTCCAAATAAAGAATTATAACATTGAATTTTTAATAAGAATGTTCATGAATCAAAAATGTAAAACAATACTTTTCGATACAAAATATTAGAATGGTTCTACAAAGATTTTGTTTGTTTATTTATGCGAAAATGTCTATAAAAAATTAACCAAAAAAAACAAAAAGTGATGAAAGAAGAATTTAGAATTTATTCAATTAATTCGAAATAATTAGAAAAATTTAATAAGTGACTTATTTCTGAAAGAAATGGTATTTAAATGATAATATTAAACTCATAATTATCAAATGCAACGAACCCCATTTTATCGCTCACAACCACAACTTATTGGTAAGTCTCAATCTATTGGACTTGTTCAATATTTTAAAGAATGTCATCTTCAAACAAATCAAGTAGATGAATCTGATTTTGAGGTATTTAATATTCTTAATGGATCAGAAAATATTACCTCTGTTTTTACTTATGATGGTAATGAGTCTGTAATTGATTTTGGAACTAATTAAGAAAATCTCTATATCAACTAAATATTTCATTTTAATGTATGTAACTTAATCTTCATTCATCTTTATTTTTTGTTTTTCATTTCAAAAATAAGAACTTTTAATAAAAAAGAACTAAAAAAATTTAATTAGAATGGAAGAACTTTCTAATAAAATTATACAACAATTAGAACTTTTAGAAGATAATTCATTAAATACATGGAACGCTGCTGATGAACAATTAACAAAAATATTCTCTAAATATTTATTTTCAAAACCATTTCAATCAATTGCATATAAATTATTATTGAACTATTTTATTTCAAATTATAAAGAGAAAACTAAATCAAGTAAGTATGCTTTTGTTAAATTAATGCTAATGACAAAATATACTCAAAAAGAAATTGTTATTAATGATATTGAACAATTATGGGAAGTTATCATTAATATTTATGAAAGTCAAAATACTTCATTATTAGAAACTATTTCTCCTTATTTAATAGACCTTTATAATTTCTCTATAACTTCTCATTCAATTGTAATGATACTTAGAAATTATACTAAATTAAATTATCTTATAACTCCAATTCAATTAAATAGAAAATCAAATGCTTTATTTTATTGTATCCTCATTCATCATCAATCAAATACTATTCATCTTACTTCTTCTATTCAACAATTCTCTCAATCTATTGAACAAAATATTCAAAATAAAACATTAGACCTTTTTTTATTATTTATAAAAGAATATATATCTCTCTTTTCTTCAATGAATTGGATTATTCATGACTCAATAATTATTTCAATACTTAATTTTATTGAATCAATTCTTAATAAAAAAGATAGTATTCCACCTGCATTGGTTCTTACTTCTATTGAAATCATTCAAAATACTTTATGTCTTGTACAAAATATTGATATAAAAGAATCCCTTATAAATTCTCTTTTAATAATGTTTAATTCAATTAGTCATAGTAATATCATTGCATCTTGTTATAATACTTTAGTTTTACTTCTTCAATTATCACCTACTCTTTGTCTTTCTATTTTTGAACAAAATAAAGAATTAGTGTATAGTATTTATCTTCATCTTCCTCAATGTGATAGACATCTTTACATTCATTCAATAAATTTATTAACACAATTATGTGAAACTTATCAACGATATTTATCTTATGAAACTTTTTTAAAAGTACTTCAAACTTCATCAACAAAATATTTAGATTATTACATTCCTAAACCATCAGATTCAACAACTATTATTGATTGTTTATATTTTAATGCAATGAAACTCATTAAATCTTTTGCTACATCATCTTCAATTCCAGACTCTTTACTTAATATATTTACCTCAATAAAAGCTAATACACCTTGGCCTTCTAAAGTAAATTTTTTAAATACCTTATCTTCATTACCACTTTTCCTTGTTACTCCTCAGCGTCTTTCTCATTTGTATGATTTGGCTGATTTCTTCCTTGTCGATGTTGACCAACGTGTTATTACAGCAGCAGGAAAAACATTCAGTACTTTATTTTCTGTCTTGCCTTTGTCTTCTAAATCTCGAATAATAACCAAACATATTCAACAGTTAATAAGTAGACCAGATATATATACCAGAGGAAGTATCTGCTTTATTAAAAATATGTTAAAAAATCAACCAACATTATTAAGTCTGTCTCAAAGTATTAAATTAATTTCCATAGTCTTATTTGCTTTGGAACATTCTCAATGGAAATGTGATATTGACGTTTTAATAGACTCTTTTGAATTATTTACAATCATAGCAAAACAAGACATTCCTCAAAAGGAATTTTTTACACATAGTGATACACTTACTTCCTTATTCACATTCCACCTAATTCTCTTATCTATATTCTCAATAACATTATTCCCAGAAAAAATTAATAAAATTACTGATCAAGTAACATCATCATTTAAATATCCTTATATAGTTGCTGTAGTCAAAAACAAACTCTATTCCACTTTACTGAGTGTTATTCAAGCACGTTTAAGTGTAAGAAATCCATTACTCTCTTTCTCCCCAACAGAAGACCCTTCATTAACATTATTATCTAAAGTATTTACTTCTTTATCTTGTTTCATTCTAAAACTACCAGAGTGTACATCTGCATATTCAGATGAGATTTTACTGCATATCACAACATTATCATCAATAGATTTATCTGGTTCTATTGCTTGTATGACACAAATCTTATTATATTCACATACAATATCTCCAAATCCTCTCTTGGATAATGCAAGATCACCAATTCGTTCAGTCTTAATGAAAGAAATGAACTACAGAGATTATGTTAATATCCCAAAAGTTGAACCTCGTAAAATAACTGAACAAACATTGAAAGATATTGTTTCTCATTCTCATTCTATCTTCTCACAAATACAGAATGCAGGGTGTTCTTCTATTGATTGGTATATATCCACTAGTTATTTAGCATTGTATTACAACATCTTCCTTTCTAAATCCATTAGGTCTCCAAAAAATAGTATATCAATTATCTATAATACTATTGCCCCAAAAGAAGTGTTAACTTCAGAATGGATCACATTTAAGAATTTGGTTCAACAACATAATCTATTAAATGATTTTGTCTTATCTAAAATAGATGGTACCCCAACATTGTCAACAATCTTTCCACTTTTTTCAAATATCTTTACTGAAAATCCTCATATAACAAAGGTATCAAAAAAACTTTTCTCTGAAGCTGTGGAACAAGAAAATACATTTAACCAACAGTTAGATAAAATAATTATTGGAAATGATTCAGGTGCAGTTCAAACAATTAGAATGTATGAAGGATATATTGAATTATTAAAACAAGAAGAAAAAGAAATACTAGAAAGATTTACTCATTTATTTGATATGCAACAGATTCAGTTATGTTTAAATGGTACAACAGATGGTAAAGAAATAGTTGAAAGAATGTGTATTTTTGTTCAAGGATTTATAGCTGAGGGATGTAAACAAACAATCATAAAAGAGATGAATCAAAATATTGTTATGTTATGGAGACTATTAAAAAGAGAAAGTACTATAAGAAACAAATTAGTAGAAGGATTAAATAAAACACTTATTATTAATAGTGAAGGTGTAAATGCTTGGAAAGTTAGAATGTATGCTGTAATTGCTTTACTTCGTTCATTGACTCTTAGAATGTTAATTTTTATTGGCAATGAAGATGCAATTAAAAGTCTTATTGACTCTGCAGTTATTGGAATATGTAATATCCATTTTGTCTTGTCTCCACAAAACGAAGTTAACTTAACAATACTGAATTCTATTTATTCCATTATGAAAGAAATTAAAGAGGTGTTAGAAATTCCAGCTCAGCCATCTCTATTTAAGCAAGTGTCTCAAACTAATATTTCAATGCTATTTTTCAACAGTTTAAATGCAAAGGCTCAATCTTTCTCAAACAATAATATAATCGAAAAATTGTATTTCACTTCTTTTCTTGGAAAAGAAATATCACTAGAATTAGCAAAAGATATATTTACTTCTATCCCATTATGCTCTCTTCAAACATTCTTCCCACCTATGTTACCATTCTTATTTAGATCATTAACACAACCAAAACAACCATTACCAAAAAAATATCTTAATATTATGCATCTGCTTCCTCAAACATTTAGAGTGAATTATCTTTCTAGTCATATTAATGAAATTCATTCAATTCCCCAACTCTTCTTTAATAATTTACCTCTATTTTCAGTTCAGACATTAGAAAAAGTTGCTCTTGAAATCACAACTACATCAAGCCTCTATTTTAAATTTATTGACCAATTCCCTGATGCACCAATTTGTGAGTTTGGAGAAGTTTTTGATTACCTATGTGTTAAATTCATAAAAGAACAACAACCATCACAATTTACTCAAACCCTTGAAATGAATAATTGTACCTTAGAGAATTTGATCAATCTTTCAAAAATTGTATCGGAACAAATACCATACCTGTCTGGTTTAACTGAACTTAACAATGAAAATTTAATTAAAGTTGGTATGGGTGTATTGAGTAAAATGTGTAATAAAACAACTAGAATGTTGATTGATGGATTAAACATTTCATCAATGTGTTTAACAATGAGATTCTTTATTATGTTAAGAATATATTTGTCTAAATATATAAAAGAATTACCTATATTTGACACTGAAGGAAATGTTCTTAGACTTGAACCTCAACAAGAATTTAGTGATAAATTGCTGATGAGTGATTTTTGGGATTGTTGTGAAGTAAATTCATTAGAGTCTGCTTTAAGAATTACAATTTGTCTCCTTTCCCAATTAGACTATCAAGTAACTAAAACAACTACATTGGATCATGCCGTAGATAATTATGTAGCTCCTCAACACTCATTTGAATAATTATACAATCAATTTTCAACAAATATTAATAATTTATTAAAAAAACTTAAAAATATGAAAGGAAAAATAAAAATTCAATTGAAAAAACCGAAAAGAACATCATTTTATTTATCGAACAAATTCTAATCGATAAACATCCCCATTTTCAAGTAATTTTAACACATCACATGTTGCAAGTAATATTTTTTTATCCTAAAAAAATTAGTATTACTTTATAGAAAATAAATTAATAAACAAACACTTTCTTTTCTTAAATAACACTTTAAGTCATCTTCGATTCCAAAAACTATTTTAAGGTCTTTTACAATTTGTGCCGCAGTTGTTCCAGGTGTTATGTCGAATGTTTCTATCCTTCGTGAATATTTAACTTGCATCATTTTACATCCTTCAGGTGGGTTATGAAATTTAACTGGTTGCCCAGTTTCATCTCCTGTTCTGATTAATGATGAAGTGGCTTTAGACCTTTGTGGTTTTGCAACTGCCTCAAGCCCATGTTCAGCACAAAAGAATTTACATCCCTTAAGATGTTTTCTAAGATTTTCTTGTTTGTTTTTTATTTTCATTACACGCGACAATTCGCCACGGGTATGAGCTTCTTGACAGGCTTTACAAGTCATATATTCTACACCATTTTTTTCACCTGCAGGATCAAAGTATAAAGACATTTCAGCTTTAACAGGAACTACATTATTAAAATCTTGATTTTGGTCTTTAGTGTCAATAGGGTCTTGTGAAAGAGAAGATGATGAAAGAATGTCTTCTGAATCGTCACTAGCCATTGATGATCTGAATATGTAATGACCTGATTGGGGTTCCATGTTTTTTCTCTTTTTTATTATTCTTTTAAATAAATTAATATTGTTTCTATGTTCTTCTTACTGAGAAAACAACCCGATTTTACTCTTCTTGTAAGGTCATTCACCTCAAACGGTTTTTCTCTTTCTGAAAATAATTTTTTTGTTTTCTTTGTCTTCTTTTCATTAAAATGACTATTTTCAATATCACGCACAGAATACTAAATAATAGCTAATTTCATTTGACAAAAGTAGAGCAGAGTTAGTAGTAATGAAAAACGCAGAAGATTAATGTAATTGAATAAATATTAGAAAAACAAATTAAATTAATAATGTTGAATTAAAACTCAATTATCTTTCCAACTAAATAAGAGAGAAATAATAAAGTATACAAGAAATTGTTATGTCTGTCCTTTAGTATATTGAATATAATGAACGTAACACTAGCTTATTGAGATATTTTCCATTTTTGAGGCTAAGAATTATCTTGAAGTATTTTTTTATTTATTTCTTTAATTTTTGAAATATTCAAATAATACTTTAATTCAAGTAGTAGTATAACTCATTCAATGAATTGATTAAGTTCTAACTAAATCATTAAGCAAAAAAATTTAATTACTTTTTAGTTATTAGTTGGTTGTTCTATGTTCTGGCAGGTGATTTTAATAGTTAACGTACCAACATCTTTAATTGGAATTTTTTCTCTTTTTATATCACCAATTTTCATTGGAGAAAATACGTAACTTGCAATTCCTACAGATTTCTTAAGTGATTTACCATTTTTAATATGAAAAATGATTTCTTCTCCATCCTCAATGACAGCAGGAAATTCCTCACACCAAAAAGGATTTAAAGACTTTTCATATTGACGTGTTGTTTGCTTTTCTGTTCTAATTGTTTTAAAAGACACATAAGCTTCTAGTATACCAGTAATGTCAGCATATAAATCAGTTGCAGAGACAATATTTAATAAAACAGAATATATAACCATAGATAAAGATTTTCAACTTTTTAAGTTCTTGTCTCAAAAATAACTGGAATAGTTTTTTTTTAAAAAAATGAGAAAACTATGAAAAAAACGAAAAAAAAATGAAGAATCAAACCAACTTGGTTTTTAAGCTTTTTTTAAGTTTTCAATCATCCATTCATCAGTAAGATCTTCAACGTCTTTGACAGTATAATTTCTTTGAACACCTGGTAAGCTAGACTGGAGAGATGCAACACATGAGGTATAAATCATTGAAAATTGTGGGTTTATTCCTGTTGGTGAAGAATAAATTAAAACCAATGGATATGTAATTCTTCCATCACGAGTTTCAAACTTGTAGCTATAAACGATGAATCTTGGTTCTGTTGTTGGGAGATAATCTTGGAGGTCAAGAAGAGGAGTGTTATCAAGTTCTTCTTCAACTTCAATTAAACTATTACTTCTATTAATTTTAAGAATTAATGCACAATTTTCTGGATTTCGTTTAATCTTAAATTTCTTAAATTGAGCTGCTGCATCTGCTGAAAGAGTTGCAAAAGAGTTCATTAACTTTTATAGTTCACCCGCTAAATCTTTATTTTCTTGATTCTTCTTTTTCGGTCTGCAAAATCATTCTAAAAATGTTATTGAATTAAAAATATGTTTTCCATTTTTCTATTAGTAATTGTGCTTCATTACCTTCTGTTTTTCTTTCAATTGATGTTACAAGTTCTCTTTGTACTTTAGTAATGATTTTACCTAATAAATTTCCTCCAACAATACAACCATCTTTGAGGAAAATTTCCATAACCTCATTTCCGTTTTGTTTTAATATAGACTCTCCTTCAATAATTCCTACAGAATAAACTCCAATAAAACTAAAAACAAAATATGGCATAGGTGTGTATATATATTTAGTAAATTCTCCGGCTATTGCCTTACCACAAACAATTCCCTGTTTCATTGCATCTGTCCAATTCCCATAACAACGACCATTAAACTCACAACAATCTCCACATGCAAAAACATTCGAAACGTTGGTTTGCATATATTCATTAACAATGATTCCATGATTAATTTTACAACCAATTGATTGTGCCAATTGGACTGAACTTCTAATACCACATGAATAACAAATTAAGTCACATTCCATACGTTCTCCATTTGAGAATTCAATTATTTTGGTACTTTCATCACAAAGAATAGCCTTGACTTGAGAATTTAGTTTTAATTGAATTCCATTTTTAAGTAATACATCCATAAAAATTTTTGATGAAGTCTTTGAGAGTTGACGTGGTAATATTCTATCTGCTATTTCAATAAGAGTCACCGTAACTTTTGCTGATTTTCTTCTTAAAGCATTTGATATTTCAATTCCTGAAAGACCTGCGCCAATGATTGCTATTTGTTTTATTACTCTTGTTTCAAATAATGAGTTAATTGCTTCCATATCAGCAGCAGAATGAATAGGTATAATGTCATTAGAATATGATTGAGGAATGAAAGGTGGTTTGTTTGGCTCACCACCAACAGCAAGCACAAGTTTAGAAAAATGAACTTCTTGTTTTACTAAATCTTTTTCAGTAATCACAATACTCTTTTTCACATCAATTGATTTTACAGTAAAACCAAGAAGAATATTAATGTTATTCTTTTGGTAGAACTTTTTTTGTTCGATGAAGAATTGTGGATTACTACAGAATGGTGGATCAAATAATATTTTAGGTATAGCTGTTCTATAGTATGGAAAGTGTTTTTCTTTACAAATAAGAGTTATAGAATGAATCCCTTTTTCTATTAAGCACCTAATTACTGATAGTGATGCAATTCCACCACCAATAACAACTACCTCAAGATTACTTGATAAAGAGGGTTGGCAATTTTCCTTAACACACTCTTCTTTTTTTAATGATTCTGACCCACAACATTGACATTTATCTCCTTTGGGTTGTGTGTTACCACAGATGTCACAACGATATTGTACATTTATATTCATAAATTCTTATTGAGTGGGTTTTAACTTAAGTGCTAGTGTCTTTTCATTTCTTTTAATCGTTTATTGAGAGATAGATAAAAAGAAAGAGATTTAATACCTAGAGAAAAATTTATAATTTATTAATGATGGTTTTAACACCAATCTGGAGATTAAACATAGAAAACCCAAATTCAGAACAGTCATCGCTGTTTGTCATAAATCCGTCCAATAACGATGTCATTCCAAAAGGGTTTTTAACATGAGAACGAAGAATTAAAAATATGATCACATTGATAAAATCATCTGTCGCACTAAATAATTATTCTTGTGTTTGTTTTGAAAATTAAAATAATGATAACAAACAAATCTATAGGAGTTTGACCATTATTATATTTTGCCATATCATCAATAATAGTTTTATGTAATTTAACAATTAGCTCACGAGCTTTAATTAGTGTTGTAACATCTTCAAGCATTTTTATTGTTTTTAATGAACGGTCAAAAACAATATCAAGACTGTCCTTTGGATATTTTGGTGGTTCCAAATGGAGAATTTGTCCTAGGTTTTGAGAGCCTAATTTCAGAACTTGAAGTTCATATCTTTCGTCATTCTTTTCTTCTTTTTTAATGAAAATATCTTTAACAGAATCAAAACATAATTCAAAGAGAATATCCTCAATGAAAGGAGTCAGTTCATCAGATTTTTTTATGTGAAAGTGATTTGCTATTTGTTCTTTTAACTCAGATGCCGTTTGAGCGATTAAAGTTTTAATATGAGCAGCAATTTGACTATTTTCAGATTTTTTAAGAATACCAATTCTAGAAATATTTGCCATAAGTGCTTGGATTGAGCATTCTATTACATCAAGTAATGGATGAGAAGGACAATCAGCAATTGATTCAAATACCTCTTCAATTAACTCTTTTTGTTTATTGTCTTTAAGATATATTTTAATTATTTTTTTGAGATGGTCATCAACTTCTTTAGCTGTTTTTTGCATTGAGAATATTTATTAACTTTTTAAACATATTTGCAAGTTCTCTTATTTTTTTTAATTTTATTAAAAAAAGAAAAGTGTTTATCATACTGTCAATTACACTAATGAGGTGGTTTCAGTTTTATTTCATATTTTGGGTTTACTAACTCTGAAGACACACAACAGTATGCACCTGAAGAAGTTTCTATTACATAATTAGAATTATGTCTTGATGGTATTAAGTTGTTTAGATTACCAACATATGGACTTTTTCGCATACGGAACCATATAAAAGCTATTAAGATACAAAGAACAATTACAATCACACAAAGAGTACCAACATAATATAATAAATAATAATAAAACTGATGTCTTTCTTCATTTGATTCATAAGCAAGTGTATAACAAATTGATAAAAATAAAAGGAGTAGTTTCATTACGATATTAAGATCTGGTTGATAAGGAGAAATTAACGAAACGTTTTTCCTTTGGTTTTGATTCTCTTTTTGTTTTTGATAAAAAAGGAAAAATTAAAGAAAAAAATAAAAATATTTTATTCTTAGAGTAGTACTTAATGTTTCCTTTTTTTTGTTAATGTTTTTTGTTAGCACTGCAACAATTATAGTTAATTTACAAGAGGATAAATGAAATAGATAGTCATTTAGACTGGTAAATTTTTTTTTTTAGTTTCTAGTGAAAGAAAAGAATGAATAAATGAAATTATCATAAGTTTCTTAAGAAGAACAAGATTAGACTTAATTGATTTACAATAAAAATAGAAATGGTATGTAAATTGTTATTCAATAAGACATGGAAAATACCAAAATAAAAAGTTTAATAAAAGAAGACTAATTAATTTCCACTGAAGATGAGTTCAACTCATGAAAATAAACAGTTTCATAAGAAATATGCTAGTCAATTTAATACCTTTAAGAAAACAAGAGACTACCAAAGTCAACAAGAAGCCGTAATGTTAGGACTATTAAATAAGTATGAAAATTACTCATTGTTTTTACCTTCAAAAAGACATTGTAGAAGTGTCCCTTTCATTCCATTAAACACTATATTTATTAATGATGAAGAAATTAATTGTAACGAAATTATTAACTCAAGACTTGCGGATTTCTATGAAATGGACAAAGCAAATGGGATTCCAGACCACACTGCACTCAGGAGAAAGAAGGCAAATTTAGTTGCTGAGACAATAAATTTTCTTGCTGATGTAATAGAAATGAAAGGTTATGTTTTTGAATCAAAAATATCAACTGGAAAAAAAGGGATTCAAAAGGAAACACTTAACGCAATTGCTTCTCAAATTCTTTATCTTAATAAAGATGATATTATCACTAAAGGAACAGAACTTAATAAATATTTTTTATCTCAAATGCAACATAGTTCTCAAACACTTTTTAAAAAAGGAAATCCATATATAGCGGAGGTTCTTGGTATTTAGTATTAACATATAATTTTTTCTTAATATCATAAGTTCATCATTTTTATTATCGCACTGGAACTACTTGCTCATTTATATTCTTAATGAAATTTAAAAATAAAAAAGTTTCTCAAAAGTTTCTTTTAAGTGTCTAAAAAGTTGTTATTACAGTTAATTGTGAAAATACTTTAAATGATTTATTGTCTTATTTAAAATACCTTTTTTATTTATTTATATTAATTTTATTCTTCCACTTATAAAAGAATAAAATTAATAAAGATGATTAAAATATTTTCATAAAATTTCTTTTTCAGCTTAGTTTACTATTATATCTAATATTATTTTATTTTATTTAGTTATCATTATTAGTTTTGAAAATAAACAAATGGGTCAATTAAAGAAGAATAAGGTTAATGAAATACCATTACTTCAAAACGAAGTTATTTGAGAAGTAAGAATAATATTTCCATATGTTTTAGATTTTAATACAAGAATAAAATAAGAGTTGTATTATTGTATTATTAATTACAACAATGATAAAAATTATATTTAATCAAAATAAAGTAATAAACAAATAATAACAAGAATGATGAAATTATTTTAAGTTTAATTGTTTTACTTTAGTAGTATATCTTGAAAAGATAACTGCGTGTTTCATAGAACTATTTTGGATTAAAGAAGAGTAAGCAATAACAAGATTATTCATAATACTTTTCATGTCTTTATCCAAATTATCTTTTTGACTTTTTAATTGAGTTAAAATATTAGTAACATCATTTAAACCATCTACATAAAACATTTCTTTTTGTTCAAATAATTTAATATCATCAACTCCTTTAAAATTATCAACAACATCTTCAAGACGTTTAAGAAGTGATTTTAACATTGCTTCCGATTCAATTAATTTTTGATGAGCATTATTCAATGTTTGATCTCTTTTTTTCAATTCAACACGAGTATCGTTAGTTTTTCTTCTTGTACAATTATAACACTTTTTACAAATAACAACTTTAATATATTCTGCCATTGGATCTTCAATTCCCATAATTAATGTTGGTGCTATTGTTGTATGAATACTACATCCTACACAACATTTTCTCATACAAATATCACATGTAACATTCATATAATCTGCTCCGTTCATTAATACATCACAAACTGGACAAATATTATTTTTTCCATTTTCTTTTCTTCCAAATAATTTACCTTTTTGTATTCTACCAATTAAATGTTCTAATCCTTTCTTAACACGTTCTTCATCTTCTTTCATTGGCCCAATTACCATTTTTCTTTTTTGTTCAAATACATCCCATTTATTTATTATAACTCCTATTTCTTGTTTATCAAGTGAATTATCTTCTTGTATTTTACAATCTTCACAAACAACATATGGTTTTATAATTTGTCTTTTACTTGTTAAATTCTTAAATGTTGGAATAATAATTTCTAATTTGTTTTTATGTTGTTCACAATATGCTATTTTACAGACTGAACAACAACAAAAATCATCAGGATTAATAGATGTTGTTTTTGAGCATCCTGGATATGAACATATTGGTTGTCCTGTTAAAGTAAATCTTGTCTTTTTCTTTTGAATATTTGTACTTCCTTGACTCTCTTTTGTTTCAATCTTTTTTGGCTCTTGATATCTATTTAATTTCTCTTCAACAACTTTAGTTGTTCCAAATAAGGATAATGCTGCTCGTGTTGTGGTATTTACTTTATTATTATAACCACTGTCAGTACATTCAAATGAATCATTCAAATAATTCTGTTTTGATATTGTAGGTGTTGATTGAACAACTTCTTGTTGAAGTTCTTGTTTAAGTAATTCATTATCTCTTTTTTCTTTTTCCATTTCTTGTTCAATCTGTTGTAGTTCTTGTTCTTCTAATTCATTACATTGATTTGTTGATGACAGTAATTTCATTTCTTCAAATTCTAATTCATTTATTTTAACATCATCTGGAATTGGAATATTTGTTTGAATTTCAAACTCCTTTTGTTTGTTTTCTTGTTGTTGTGGAGGTTGATTTGGTATTTGTGTTGATGAAATTATTGGTTGCATAAATGATTGATGAGGAGCAATTTGGTTAGATTGAGTTATTAATTGTTGTTGAGGAGAAGACATGTTTAATTGTTGATTAAAAGAATCATACACATCAAAATAAGAATTATTTTGTTGGTACTGAGGAGAATGAGGTTGATAAAAATGTTGAGGCATATAAGGATTACTATGAATTTGTTGACTATTTCTGTTAATAGGAGTAGAAGTAAACATCATATCATTTTGTTGTTGAACATTATTTTGATATCTTTGTTGTTTTAAACCAGCATTAAAGAATGACATATCAATGATTGGAGGTACAACTTGTGAAGATTCAGGTTGATGTTCAATAATGTTGATTTGTGGTGGAATGGTATTAGTTTTAAAAGGTGGTGTAGTAGTTTTTTCGTTGGTGATGTCTTCAGTAAGAGTAGTAGGTATTGGAAAGGTATTGCCTTGAAGTTCATTTTCTTTTCTATGCAACTCTTCTTCTCGTTTAATAAGAAAAGATTCCCGTTCTTTGATTAATTGCTCTCTTCGTTCTAATTCCATTTCTTTCTTTTCAATGGTACTTTTCAATTGAAACAATTGTTCTTGCCATACTTCTAATTCTCTTTTGTTGAGAGTTGTTTTATCCATAATAATTTTCAAATATCAAAATACAGTTTCTTCAAACATTTATTTGTCTTCTATTCGTCATTCTTTCTTTTTCAAATAACATTTTTATGAAAATTTATGTTATTCGGTTAAACTATAATAAAACTAAAAATGAATTATATTAATTTTTTGTTTTTGAACTAAATGTATTTTTAGAAAATCGGTCCAACGAAAATAACAAAATATCTCTTTATAGTCTTTCTTCAAGAACTTAAAACGTTATTTTCTTATGGCTTCAAAAGAAGACATTACAAGTGACGATACAACAATTGAAGATCCTAC